TAATATGGACACTGTTTATTTAAATTAAAAGACGTAATCAATTTAAATAAAGTTTAAAAAATATTAAAAATTAAAAGATACACATAGTTGATTTAAAAGAATTTAAATTTATAAAAATGAAGTTAAGAAAGACATGTGTTATTCTTTCGTAAAAAAGAGAGTAAAGATATTAAATTACTCTCACGTAAGGGTACAAATTAGTTGAGTTATTCCCGTTTGACACAAGTGTCCGATCAACCTCATTTATTTTACTAAACAAATAAATTCAAACTTGACTTTAGGTTTCATGACATAAATGAGTTAAACTAAGCTTTAGACTTGATTTTAAAAATGTCCACTAAATATTAAATTAATAAACTTAAAGATATTTCAACAGGATATTCGATACAGCAAAGAAAAATACTTTTAAACGAACTGGGAAAACATGAACTCATGGCTCGGGATGGTGGATCCTATATCTTCAATTCAACAGCCTAATGACTATATGAGAAAACAAACTAAGGGAAGAGCGCTATATGAAAAATCACTTAGGTAAGAAAACTGGAATTAAAGAAGGGTAAAGGATTTATCTTGTCAATGGAGATAAGTTATCTCCAGTGAGCCCAAAACGACATCGTTTTGAGGCGGAAATCAAGGTATTTTTGTAATTATAATATATTGCAGAGTTATATTAGTCTTTATCATTATAATCTTTTAATCTTATAATCTTATAACTCAAAACGACATCGTTTTGAGCTCACTGAAAATAACTTTATCTCCGGTAACTAGAGAAATACTAGAAACCGGAAAAACATTACAATTGCAACTACAGTTGGTTCATGTCACGTGGATGATATCGCTCTAATTTAAACAAATGGTGAGAGAAAAAGAGAGATGCGGGAAATACAATTGAATAAAGCATTAGGCTTATTACCATTTTTTAACATAAAGGAAACTGCAATGAGCTTTTGATAAGGAACTTTTTAACATTCATGCGCAAACTAACATAAAAAGAAAGCAGCAGCATCCACTACAACACCATTAAAAATGCAAATAATATTAGCCATGTAAATGCACTGTCAGACTAGCAGTAAATGCAAGTACCTTCTTATCAGGATCCATCAGTTTATAGAGGCAAGACAATCCTCAGAAAAGAAACAACTCACTCGTCAGCATCTTGTCCCAATTAAAGAACGTACCATAAAGCAAGGAGACCCCAACCAGTTGTTTTCTAGGCTCTTCATCAGGTAAGCATGGAGCTAAGCCACAGGAAGAACTGACTCATATGTATCTTCTCCCAACCAAGGATTATTACATAACATAAGGACCCCAACCTTTATTCCAGTAGTCTTTTAAATGTGACATATAGACAGGTTTACTTCACAAACAATATCGACATTTCTACAAAAATCCTAAATTCACAATATATCAATTGTGCCTAATGTCATGATCCTAATTCGGAAATTCCATTGACATACATAAATTTGTCCACCTAGCATTTCTGCCAACAGGGGCCAATGACTACAATCATCATTGCACATTAGATTTACTTAAACCACTAAATTCGCGAAAGAAAATGCAGAAACTAAATGAATTGATAATACTTAGATGAGTTGCTTTGTTTGTTGTGTGTGAATACAAAGGGCACACAAATATTGACTTTTTCATATTTTATTACTGTCATTGGCTTTGGATTATATCTTGCTTCTTCCAGTATAAGCAAGATAAGTTCAAATGCTCTAAGAAAATTAAAGCAGGATCAGACAACAATGATATAGCCTCATCAAATGCCTGTTGTAACAAAATGAAATTATAGTATATCCATTATTTCTAAAGTGTATTGCTTGACTAACTTGGTGAAGAAGGATAAAGCCACTTGCATGTCTTGGAATAATAATTCCTTTTAACCTTATGGTGATAACCATCACCAACAATCCAAGATTCATCATACCAATTCATAAAAGAATATTATCAGGAAGGTGGAGACATACATGTCTCTAGGGGTAGTAAACGAATCAGGGATTTTTGGCTCAGCTTGTGAAGGCCTGAGCTTACATGTCTAAAATTGGTTGTTAAAATCAAATTTGGACTTATATAAAAGCTTGTTTAATAAAAAAGCCTCAAGCTCCAATTTAAAAGCTCGGCCTTAAAGCCTCTCAAATTGACCTAGTATATTAATTTTTATTTTTATATTATATGTTTTATAATACTTGTAATAGCCCTCTCTTTCTCCTCAATCCATTTCACCCCATTTTATTGGTTAAACAGACTTTTTGAATAATTTTGTTCTATATTATATTGTTTGGATATATATTGAATTTATATATATTTATGGAATTACTAGTGTTGTTGATTATATATTCTATTTGGATAAATTTTTGTTGTCTTATTTTATTTTTAAACAGGCTAACTCAGGCTTTAATTTTTAGTAAATAAGTCAGGCTACAAGCCGATAATTATATTCATAACAAGTAACAGGCTTGGTCAGGCTGACATATTTAAACACAGGCTTAGCCTTTTAAGACCAAAGTTTGGCTCGGCCCGTTAACACCCTTACATGTCTCCATAGCAGCAGAATAACTTCGATCTTCACCTTTGGGGTATGCGATCTTCTTCGATCAAATAGTTGTAATCCTTATTCTTTAGTATGATCTTCTCCTTTGGGGTATGCAATCCTCTTTGGTCAAATAACCCTAATTCTTATTCTTTAATATGATTTTCTTTTTTGGGGTATGCGATCTTTGTTAGGAACGTGGCTTCCATACTCAAGGGGGGTGAATTGAGTATTACAAGATTTTCACAAAAGCCCCCTTTTAGTTTCTAAATAATCATTGCAAGCACACTTTGACATATGAAAAGCTAATCAATGCATTCAAACAATCCATAACATATAATGTATCATAATTCTAGAACTTATACTAGCACATACAAGATATCAAAGAAGCAATTAAAGTGCTAGAAATAAAGAGTTTAGAGTTTAGAGAATTGCAAACACTATATATCCTGGTTCGGTCACTACCACTTGTGACCTACGTCCAGACTGAAGTCCCTCGATCAACTCTTTCACTAATGGTCAAGCTTCACGGGTGCTTGACAAACCTTTACAATCTTTCAAGACTTCGGGTTCTTGGATACCTTTCAATCTCCAAGTTTACGAGTACTTGGTAACCTTACAATTCACTCCAAATTTACTTAGGTATTTGGCCACCTCTCGAACAATGGGTCTCACAACCCTTTCAACTCAAGAATACAATGGGAAAATATTTTGAAATGAATATACACTCTCAAAGTGTGGATATACAACTTGAAGCACTATGGGTATATGGATTTTCAAGATATGAGCTCAAATATATTTGATCTTTGAAATATATGAAAGAATATGCAAGTGATAGTGTAGAAGCTCTCAAAGTATGCTTAATGTGTGTAGAAATAATGCTCAAATGTTTTTGAGTCATTGGGAATGCATATATAGTGTTTTCAAAAACTAGCCGTTTATAGCCGTTGGAAAACTAGCCGTTTATAGCCGTTGGGAAACTAGCCGTTTATAGCCGTTGGGATCTAATTTGAAAAATTAGCCGTTTTATAGCCGTTTATAGCCGTTGGGATCTTATTAGAAAAATTAGCCATTTTATAGCTGTTGAGATCTGTCGCAGTGGTAATTGATTTCCAACTTGACAGCAAAAATACTGTTTCGTATTTTGGCTATAATTTGAGTTATACTTGTCAGATTGATGTGATCTTGGTCTCGTTGGAAAGATAAAAGATAAATCTACAACTTCTATGAAGAACACAAGATCCAAATCCATCATCTTAGATACGAAAAAGTGTATGGAAGACAGCAGCGAAATTAAGCAACAAATTTTAAGTTCAGATGTGTTTTAGCTTGCTTCCAACTACTTTTTGTGAAAGATCTTGACTTGATAAATATGTTTTGAAGTTATAAAATATGTCAAGGATCTTTTCTATGGATTTGAAAAACATGTTTGCAAAACATCTTGATTATGCAATTTGAAAAACATGTTTACTTTGAGAAAAACTTTGAGCTCATGCAATGCAATCTATCATATACCTTCACATATATTCTAAGTCATAAAGATATATTATAAATATGATTTTAGACTTAGCTTCATATCTTGTGTCTTGGATCTTTTCTTGAACTTGATGCTTTGACTTGTTGGATATGACAATGCTTGATACTTTGTTGGTTTTGATCATTTTTCACCATTGTTATGATATTGAGCTTCTCTTAGATGTTGTCCATGGTTAGTTGTCTTTGATCTTGGTGTTGCTCTTCTAATTATTCCTTGTTGCTCTTGATCCAATGATCTTGTCACTTTGATATAACATCACTCTTCTTGTGTGGCTACATCATACATCTTCAATATCCACATATGGTTGATATTTTTTGCTCTTGATCAAAGCTCTTCTCTTTTTGTTGTTGCCACTTTGTTATCATCAAAACATACCTTGTATCTACAATCTTCCTCGGTCAAATAGCCCTAATCTTTATTCTTTAGTGTGTTGTCTCTCTCTCTCTCTTGATGGGGAAGAGAAAATAGAGTTGTTATTTGACATATTGGGGACCAGAACCCTTTATAGTATTTTTCTTTATTGTTGGGTCAGTAAGCTCTCATTGTACCTAGTTGGCCCAATACTTACTTAGAAATCTATTAGGGCATCTTTATTTGATCACTTTAATTTACTCAATATATATTAAATAGCATAATATAATTATTAATACAATATGTAGCCCACAAACACATTAGGAAATATAATTTCCTAACAGCATGTACATGTAACAAAAATATATAGATTGGCAAATCTAATCAGTGGGGCGAAGCATAGATAATGCAAAGCCAACTTCGCCGAGATATGCTGAAATTTAATAATTAAAATCAATGGCAGAGAGGATCAAACTCCTCAATCCTGAAAACTCAGTCATAGAGTTTCTAAGAGTGGCTTTTATATCTCAAAGCTCACTCTTTCAAATTCAAATATATCTATCCAAATACAGAGCCTACATTATTTCTGGACTTTAAAGTTTAGAAGCTCACCTGTATCATAAAACTGTACTAAACGGAAAATCTTCATTAAGAACCAGAGAGAGAGAGAGAAATCAATCCTAGTGTCACAAAAAGAATTTGCAACAACGAGATGAGCCAGAAAGCAGATATGAATTTCAGGTCCAGAAGTATTTTAAAGCATATAAAAGCAGTTCAGAATGGGAATCCTCTAGTAATGCACTTCTTTGACGACTCTGCTAATCTCTTCACCTCTTTTGTCCTTTTATAGATTTCCATTAATTCATTGGCCATTTCCTCGTGATGGCATTTGACAAACGAATTCAAAAACCTCTCCTCTGACATCCTCAGTGCCCTAACTATTGTGGGTCCTATGATATGAAACGTATAATCCATATCTTGTATCTTCATTGCTACAAGCACGCGTGGCTTCAAAACAGTGTCCATATTAGCATACAAGAGATACGGGTACTTTAGGACTATCTTAGCTTCAAGCTTCATTGTGCCCAAGATGAAAGTCATGTTCCTCTGAACCTTATCAGTAGACAATGTCAAAACAATAGGAGCCCTCCCAAAAAGACCAAATATCTCATCATCAGAAAAACCAAATCTTGCCAAATTCGCCATTTTCTCACGAATTGTTTCCACGCGAGAGATGCCTATTAGTGTCACCACGTATTTATACATCTTTGAATCCTTGGAAAGTCCTATCCTTCCTATATATTCCAGCTTCTCATCATCAAATGAAGTCCTTGTAATAATCATTGGCCGCAAAAGGAGCATTTGAATCAAGTCACTTTTATTAACACCTAACTCTTCATACAGTACGAGGGTAGCTTCAATGTCAAAGCGATTGTCCCATACCAGCAGTGAAGGGTTTCTCACAATGGCCTTGTGAAGCTTCTCCTTTGACTCAAACAATGACATAAGATAAGCAAGCCTCTCCTCTAAGTTATACCGAGACCTGAAAAATCGTGGCCTACAAATGATAATCTTCACAAGTTCAGATGCCCGTATGCCCAATCCACTCAGCAGGCAGAGCTTAGATTGAACTTGAGTAGCATCAGCATTGCGCAATGAAGGGCAGCGTGAAAATATTCTCATCAAATCATCGTCATTACAACCCCATTTACTCAAAACTTCACTAGCATCCTTCGATTCATTTCCAAGTTCTTGGACTTCAACCTTGGCTTCGGCTAGGCCAATGGTCGAACAGGTGGCAGGAGTGAACACTCGCAAAGTTTTTATAACTGGTGGTGAGTATGAGAAAGACTGAAAAAGATTTGACCCAGTTGAAAGAAACCGAAGCATGAGATAATGTTACAATCAGCTTGACAATCACGAATATGAGGAACAACTGGGTTGTGCTAAAATTTGAAAAAGAAAATAAATAAATAATACTTTTTTGTTCTTTTTTGTTCAAAAGAAGAGCATGAAGAGTGAGGTAGAAATACCAAGTTAGAATGTTATTACTGCTGCTGCAGTGGAAAAAAGGGAGAGTGACTTCAAGCTTCAGCAATTGATACTAACAGTTACATGGCAAGTCACTTCAATTGAACAACGAATCAATGACGAATGCAAAATTGCAAATCAGCTAGAGTGAGTGTGTATGAGAGAGAGAGAGAGAGAGAGAGAGAGAGAGAGAGAGAGAGAGAGAGGAGACCGGCAAAATGTAAAGGGACCAATCGCGGTTGGGAGTGATACGGCGAAAGGAAACGAAAACGCGATTCGGGTGACCACTGACTAGGGTTGAACTTTATTACACTAAACCGTTGTGAAGGAGTTCTTTAATATGGAAATAGATTTTCACCATTAATAATCAAACAAACCATAATGATTTTGTAACGGGAATAGTGTTTGTCTTTTCAAATGACATAATTATGTCATTTCATTTTCACAAAGATGTGGGATTCATATTTTTATTTATTTTTGTCCACTCTTTCTCTTTTATCTATCTCTTTCTCTCAATGACACAACTTCAGCTCCTTTAAAATGACACATATTTTTTTCTTTCGTAATATTTAATTTTTATATTTTTATTTTATTTTATCGCAATTAATCCATCTTCGTAATTAGCAGCATATTATATACTAGAGTAAATTATTCCTTTGCACAAGATATACAGTTTGACAAAACTTGAGATACTATTTTATTTTGGGTTAAATTGATGCATTTGCTATTCAACATTTCTAGGGTGATTTGAATTACCTAATATACATTAAGTTATGCATTTTAAATCTTGGTACTAATATACACACAAACCGTTACTCGAGTAATTTGACTCTTATTTCTTCAAATATTATTGTGCTTTTGAACTGAAATTTCTATACGAATAACAGGTGCTTTAAGACTGTTTCTGCTATTTTTTTGTGCTGTCATGCTTCTATTTATAACTGGAAGTTTGAATCAAGTTAGTAGAATTACTAACAGTTCTAATCTGATGCAAAATAACTTTTAGCGTGTTAAACATTTCCAATAGATTTGTCAGCTTTAAGTTTGGGTTACTCTTACAACTCTCATACTATTAAGCTTGCGACTTTATTATTGTTACGGTTGAAATACATCACATTTGATAGTGATCAATATTTGTGTCATAGTATGCAAAGTTACTGCATATTTTACATACTGAAAACTTGCCAATAAATTATTTTTTGAAGTTATCTCATTTGATTACATAGCTTGCTATGGTGATACTTTTGAATAATTTCTTAATTGGCTCTTATTTTGAAATACATTTTACTGTTGTTTGCCAATTAATTTTACCACACATATAGCTAGTGGTGCAAAAAAATTGCACAGCATAAGGTACGCTATTTCTTTCACTACCTATATCACATAGGACATTATCTAGACTAATTCATATTGCGCATTTAGGGACCTTGCACATAAATTTTGATCTTAATATTGCTTGACTGATTTCTAAAACAATTTTGAAAAATTGATAAGGGTTGTAATTTAAGTTGTGTTGGTACTCCTTAGAACCACATAGTTCATTATTCTCTAAGAGCTCGTTTGGATGGATTTTTTTTTCCTCTAAAAACTGCATTTCCTTAGAAAGAAAGTTTTTCTCACTACAAATTAATGTTTGGATGTTTGCTTTTACAAAAAGGAGAAGTCACAAAAAAGCTAACAATATGCTTTTTTTCGAAACTAAACATTTTATCTTTTAAAAAAAAGGAAGGTTATACCTATAACCTATTTTTGCTTACAACCTCTTACAATCATATCTTAACTATTGATTTTCGTCAATCAACTGTTATTATTTTCTTAAATCAAACTAATTAATTAATTATTAATTCGCAATAAATGATAATTATTGATTAACGGAAATCAACGATTAAAATATGATTGTAAGAGGTTGTAAAAGAAAATAGGTTGTAAGTATAACCTTCCTCTTTTAAAATATCAAAAATCAAATATTTTTTTAAAATTCAAATTTGCCCCCAACCCACCCCACCCCAACTCAACCAATCTCACCTCCCTCGCCGCCGCCACTATTGCTACCGCCACATCCACCACCTCCATTATCGCCACTGTAACACCCTGTGTTGATCCAGTTTGTTAACATCAGAATGGTATTAAGCGCAGCTAATAATCACATAAATGCGGAAGATAAACTTTTTTCATTCTTCATTAAATTGTAATCATTACTTACACACTTAATGATCTATTTCTTACAAGAGAGTGTCCTTAATTTTAATGTCTCCTCTTAACCATTGATTAGTCCATTATGCATGCTTCATTCTTCACATTTACACATGTCAAATTAAGGCATTGCAATTCTTTTTAACATACATCGTTTGTCTACGTAAGATTCCTTTATGTTTAGTTAATAAGGGCGATCCTTATAAACCTTAATATGCCACTTAGTACATACATTTCTTGTTATCTAAGTTATCATCTTACTTACGTCCTTGGCATAGTATATCTTGCTAGCAGTCCATTAGCTAAGTTATTTATTTTATGCCACTTTACTAAATTCATTAATTTCCCTAGTCATCCGTTACCTAGGCTTCACATTATACAATACCTATCTCGATACATTTATACATCCAACATGTATATACCATATTGCCTAGCAATACATGGCATAGACGTTACATACATAGCATTAGTCTCAATCGATAATCAACATAGTCAACGTGTCATAACATCATATGACCAACTACAATTACTCAATAACATAAGCTTACTCAAGAAGGCATAATCAACCCATATGCTCTTCCGAAATACAAACATAACATAACATGTCCAGTGGTAATCATGCCTCATAAAAATATATGAACAACACATCACAACAATACATGTCTCATATCATGCTATATTATCTAAGTCGGCCTCTTGCCTCAAGATGCGCCCATCTCATGAATATCTGCTCCTGAAAAATATTCCCCACACAGGGTGAGATTTTGAAAAATCTTAGTAAACTGGGGTTCTCCAAGGATTACTCCTCCTCCAAGTTCACTTACAGATATAATATAAATATGAACAATATAAAACAATAGAAAGATGCAACATATGGGTTGCGATTTCGATAAGTATACTGATCGTTTCAAGTAATAAAAATGAAAGTAAAGTATCGTCCAACGAGGATTAAAGTACTAAGTATTATTATAACTAGTCCCCTTAATTTGGAAAATTCGATTTGGTTTAGAAAATAGATTTTGAATTAAAATAAAAATAATTAAAATTAATTGCAGTAATTATCTAAAACATTCAAGAATATTCAAGAACGCTAGAATTGTGAATAAAGACTATAATAAGGAATTGTAACTAGGATGCACTTCACCTTTGATCTTCCTTTACAAATATGAATTAATTCTTATAATTAATTAACTCATTAGTTCAGACAATTCATCTTTCTCAAATCAATTAGTTAAACCCTAATGTCTTAGTGTATTTAACTCTTTAACCTAATTAGAACCCTAGTGTCCTAGTAATCCCTCTTGAATCAAGCATTAAGTTGATGAATTAAAAAGTCTGCAATTCAGCCTATGTCTAAATTATGCATAAATTGTTATTTTACCTTTGTCAGGATTAAAGCCCCAATATGCCTATTGTGAGCTCTAACCCTCAAAACCCTATAAAATTGATCAGATCTAATAAGGATATGGAAAATTCATTCAAGGTAAAATAAAACTAATTGGATTAAAATAACTATAAAATAATTCAGAAAATATAAAGGATTCACATTGGATCGATAACCCTAACTACAAAGGAAAATTAGCCAGACATAACTGGCTTAAACGAAATAAAAGAATAAAAAGAATTCATCAAAAAGAAGAAAGAAAGGAAGAAAGGTAGTCTTTAATCTTCAATTTTCAATTTCTCTAAGTGTTGATCTCCCGCATAAATCTCTCAAAACTCTATCTATTTCTTGATTTTTCAAAAACTTTCCAGCCAAAGATGCTTTTCTAAGGGTTTTTATCCCCCTTTCACAGCCTTTTTACCAAATTTCTTCATATCTTGATCAAATCTTTGATTGAGAGTCCTTCTTTAAATAAAAATCTAATCCATTAAATATTGCATGTGGCATCCGCGCGATCCGCGCCAATAACGCGCGGTTGGACAGTGGATTTGGCTATTTTTCAGCATTCTTGGCGTGATCGCCACTCCCACGCCATTCACGCGGCTGAACTGCTGTCATTTTCTCCTTTGTGAAATCATCCTCTTTTATGCATTTTTCTTCTACAAAACACATAAATTTTGTGAGAGTGTGGATTATTAATAATTCTAATAAATAAAACATTTATCACTCAATTAATATCAAATCCTTGCTCTTTTTAGTCTAGAAAACTCCATATGCTGGAGGCATATCAATATGTATATCATGTAGGTGCGCTAAAAAATCACAAAGTATAAGGATCCACCCTACGCCCACACTGCTGGAGTTCTATCCCTTGTATGGAAAGTTCAATAAAAATTTATCTCCAAAATCTTCAAAGGATCCAATCGAATTTGCAGGAAGAGTTGAGAACCATATCTACGCTGCTCCAGTCATAGTTGTAGCAGATATATGGGAAATGATGGGCTTATCAATTCCTCTTATGTACATATCAGTATCAAACTTAACAATATGAACTTGCGGATCCTGGCTTCCATCATATTTCAGCAAGTATGTAGAGGCAAACTCCTCTAGGAACGGAGCACTAACAATCTCATTAGTAAAAGGACTATTATTGTATTGTCCTCTACTATATTTCCTTCTATACGCACCAACTTCAGCACGACCTTGAGTTTGATCTCAATTATATTGAAACTGGATATCCCGGTTGTGCTCCATATTCCTTCCTATTCCAGCATTCAAGTTACAAGATATCACACTTGCATTGCAATCATTATCATCTAGGCCACAATCTTCATTACTTCTAATCGGACCTGATTATTAGCATTTGAATTTCGGCCAGTGTTAGCTTTACCTCGACCTTGAGTAACTACAACTCGAATTTGATTATCCAGGTTATGATTCATATTAAACAAGACCTGATTATTTATGTTCCGCATTAACTCGTACCTAATTATTCTGATTATGGTCCACATTAACCCGGACCTGATTATTTGTAACACTGGCATTCCTGGGCTCATTAGCATTTTCACCATGATAAGCCTCCCTATGCCTTTCTCTTCTTCTATTCTCTTCATCTCGGATCTGGCCTCCTGCATGTTCCAAATTTCTTAATTGTATTAGACATGCCTTCGTCTCTTGAAACCTTTGAACATCTTCCTGCCTCTAAAGATTGTTACGATGTTCCATTTCCTCTATCCGCCTTTAGCTCGTATTGAAAGAGGTTTATGTAAGGTGAGCTTCTGGATTTGCAGGTTAATGTTGAAGAGACACTATTTGATTATTAGGATTACCTGCCAGAGCCGATGTAGAGGCTGTATCTGAGACATCTTCGCTTGCATGAACTGCATCATAATCTGATTTTGCCTCATGTTCAGGCTGACTTGATGGTTGATTTACCTCCTCCAAAATTGGATTCGATGATAGATTCGGTTGTGGCGACAATTGACTGCTACTCCTTGTACGAAACACCATTCTTGATCGTGGGAATAACAATTTATCGATTTTTCACAGATGGCGCCAATGTTGGATCTAGGGGCTCTTTCTAAGGTATTTATGAGTTAGATACATTTGAGTTTAGTGGATCACATTGCATAAAAGAGTAAAGAACAATTTTCACTAAAGGGTGGTGTGTGTGCACAATGACAGCATAACAGTAAAGAAAGAGAATAAATATACTTGTAGATTTTACCTCTTATTTATACGGTTTATCTGTGGGTATTAGAATTATAGACCTTCTGTGCCTCTTCTAGTATCCCAAGCTCATGTTTAATGTTGTCGTATTATGGTTGATATCTTTGATGAATATCTTCCTTTGATTATATCAGATTTTATTTGGATTGTTCCTTATTAGGGTATATGATAAATGAGCCTCATATATAAGTTCATAGCAGAAAGAAAACTCAAAACACTACTTTATATGCACCTACATGATTGACTCACAAACTCACCCTTGTTTTTCTAAACCAATTTTTAAATTTTTATAAATCAAATAAAATTGGTGTAATTCTCTATTTAATATTTTGTTTTTCAACATTTTTATTCTTTCTTTCCGCCGCGGTACTAACCTCAGAAGCACAGACACGCTTCTTAAAAAAAATTTGTGTCCGACACGGACACGCGTCCGACTCGTGGTCAATATTTTGGGACACGTGGTCAACGCTCGGACACGTTCGAACACATTTTTTTTTAGTCTTAATTTTATTTTATTAACTAAAAATAAAAAAATTATTTATAAATCAATTTTTTTCTGTTATGAAATTTGACATGAAAAGTTAACAAGGTACGAATTTTTTTTATATATAGTTATGTAATAAAATTTGAATATTTGATTGGTTATATGACTTATTATGGACTGTTATATCAATTAAATATAAATTATATTATATATATTACAAATATTATTTAATATCAAAACGTGTCCTAACGTGTCGAAATATGTCATTTTTTAGAATTAATGTGTCGGCGTGTCATGTCGTGTCCCGTGTCCCGTATCAGTGTCCGTGCATCATAGGTACTAACAATCAAATGCTTGTGCTACACTGTTAATTTTCATGAGACATGTTAATACCCTAGTGCTATTGTTGAATAGTTTAGTTTTTGGCAATTCCCCTCTAAAAAATATAAGAATTTAATGTTTGTTTTACTGTAGAAAATAAATTTATTTCTTATATACATATAAAAATATGTGAAACCATATGAAGAGAAAAAAAAATAAAAGATAAATTAAGATAAATTATCAACAAAGTCCAACACAATTGGTGGATGAATGGGTAACTGAGTTCCTTAAACATGCTGATAAGAGTTTGTCGTGTGCATGGAAAAAAACTTTATTAGTAAAGATAAAACCTACTTTAATGATCTTTATGCCTCCAAAAAAATTAATTTTTAACTATCACTCGAAAAATATCTTGAAGAAACTAAAAAAAGATAAAAATAAATTTATCCGTTAGAAACGACAAATCCAAAATATAATAATCTAATCTTTTCATTAAAAACACAGTTTTCCACGAACTTTGAAAAAGTTGTTCTTTTTGGATATAAAAGTAAAGCAAAAGAAGAAGAAAAATAATCCTTTTTTGTTTTTTGTTTTTTAATTTCTATCCGTTCCTTTCTTTTTAATCCTTAACTTATGTCCATTCATGCTCATCATTCAATTGAATAACTCGAACTTTGTAGTTTGTTCTACAGCCTGTGTTTTCAAGCCTACTGTCCCCACGCTTCCACAATAAACCGTCCGTATTCTAACACCTATCACATCATAATTAAATTCCTAATCTTACCGACGTTATCAGTACTCTTAAATCTTTTAAAATAAATTTATTTGATAAATACATCAATAAATTTGTATTTATTCTAAGATAATTTTAAATATATCATTGATTCAAGGTTTAATATTTTTTCTATAAATAAAAGATAAGTTTATTTATTACTATTTTGAACGAACACCAACTATGATATATGAATTGTAGGTCAAGTGTTTGGGGTATGCCAGCAATAGTTAAGGTCTGATGTAAGTGATGAATATGGTAAGCTACGTAGGTATGCACTCTATGAATGGATGAGTGAGATGACTAGTTTTGAAGTGTTCCTTTTGATATTAGTAAGCCTTATCATGTGATCAAGGTGATCATTGTTTAAACGAGCGGAAAAGGATCATGGGTTTAACCCACGATCCGAGCTCGTGGTCTATGGTTGATCGTGAGCCTCTAAACGAGTTGAGCTCTTGGACTTCAGTTGGACTTAAAAATTAATAAGTTTCACTTAGTTATTTTTTTCTCCTCTCTAAGAGAAATTCCACACCTATTTTTATATATATGCAGGGATATTATTATCGCTTGTTTATATGGAAAAACTTTATTTACTATAAACGCATTAAAAGTATATGAAGTAGGAACCCTGCTTAATTTTTTTTAAAGAGGAAGATTAATCCCTTAACTTAATTAATAAATTTATTTTCAAAGAATTAAAACAATTTTTTCTTCCATGGTCCCACTTTTTGTATTGGTTAGAAACAACGGTCTAGATTCATGAATCAGACAAAGTAGAGTTTCATGTCACTCAGAAAAAGTGGTCCAGCCCGTGTCTAATCATGTCTCCTATTCGCCGCAGAGAACATAAACGATGTACATTTGCCGCATATAAATTATAATTCTCACTCCACTCATCATTCAAAACTTTTTCTTATTTTAAAATTAAAATAGAATTTTCACAGACTCGATCCAATCCGAAACCAAAATTAACAATTATCAAAAAAAAAAAAAATGTTATTATCCAATTCATCATCTCATTACTCATACATCATCTGATACGAACAAACACACCGCCGCGTCTATCCTCTGAAACGGCATCATCGAACCCAACCAACCTGCATTTTGCCCCACTCACGGCAGACACAACCGTGGGAACCGGGTTTCCCTGAACCGGGTTCGTTGTCCTCTTATACGAACCGAACCACTTATTCTGCATGTACCGGTTCTTTCTCCACGGAGGAACAGAGAGCCCTCTGTTCCTCAAACACCGTTTCGCCACGCGGCACATGATCAAAACGGTGCGTTTAAGCTCCTCAGCCGTTCCGACGAATATTCCGGGAACGTAAGTCAGAATTTCCTCGTAACTGCTTGTCGGCCTGGCAATCTCGAACTGGCCGGCGAAATCAAGGTCCACGAAGTACCGGTTCTGCCACGTGGACGGTCCAGATTGCACCACGTCGATGAACTCGTGGCTGCCGGCGGTGCTTCCGCCGGAGGAGTCCCACCGCGTTTTGCAGATCGCCGCATTGTGTCCCATTTCGCGCAAAAACGACATCACGTTTCGACGATAAACCGAGACGTTTCGTTCTCTCAGAAACGCGAACTTCTCAGCTGCCTCCGAAACGTGCGCACGAAGCATGTTCTTATAAGAATCGACACTGTTCGCAGCGTTTAAGTTAATTAGATCCTCCACCGAGTCCATGCAATCGGAGACCGAGTCAACTCCCTCCGAGTCGAACTCGTTACCCACCGAGTCACACTCGTTCCCGTTCTCTTTGAGGAAATAATCATGCACGAGCCCGGAGAGGCACGGTGACTCGCCGTCGCCGTCGCCGGAATGTTCGCTTCCGCTGCTGACGCCGCTCAGTTGCCGTTGATCACCGCCGAAGATGCGAGCTTTTGCTTCATCGTCGAACGGGTCAGTGACCCGTTTCTTTCTCGCGAAACCCACCATTGATTCGAAGGAAAAACGAGTTCTTTAGAAGAATTCGGAGAAGTTTCTATGTTCGAAAGATGATTCTAAAGATGGGTTTTGGTTTGTGTTTGGGTTTTGCAGAGTGTGCGTGGGAAGGTGGTTATAAAGATGATGGGAATGGTTGGAATTTTCTCGAGAATATTCGAGGGAAACTGTTTCGAGTTCCAACTTCTATAATTGCTGTGATTTTGATCCGAATTTCAGTGTGAATAAAGGAGTTTGACGAAGTTATAAACTAAACAGGGATATGCGGGTAGGATCCTTAATTATTCGGGTTATATAGATGCCTTTGGCATATACACTTTTATTCGGGTTCTGTCATGGGCTTGTGACGTGTTGAAGTGTGATTTCACAATGTGTGAGTAAGCTAAGGGTGGGCTTGCACGAGCATGGCACGTGGTTAGGTTGACACCCTGGTTTGATAAGGTAGCAAGAAGAAAGTGACTAATCATCAAGCATATGGATTAACTCGAATACCTGACATTGGATTGTTTTAACTTAATCAATAGTATTAAATTTGAATTTTGAGTATGTAATTATGTTAAAATTTTGATTTGGAAGAGTTTTTTCTTCTTTGTAGTAATATCTAACATGATCAATTAGTCGATTATTCGATAACTGAGAGAAATTTAAAAAAAAAAAAAAGTGGGGTGGTTTTGGGAGATAGAAGTTGCCGTTTAGTGAGTCTGAAAGGTTATCCGTTTGTGACTGTGCTGTCCAATGCTAGTCGTTATATTGGGAGGACTCAACAAATAAGGAATCGACGTTGAATAAATCAGATAAGTTTTTTTTTTTTAATTTAAGCTTGGCCTAATCTTTTAAAAAATTTCCCTTGTTCTTAAAGCCTTTAAATAAACTAACAAGTTTCTTTTTAAAAAAATTAGCAAACTTATGTAGGATTAACAAATTTAAATATTTTAACAAGACAATAGTTTTGAAATATTTCAGTAAAAATTTAACAGTAATAATAAATTAGCATATTATTTATGTTTACTTAAATAGCGATCATCATCTCTAAAATATTTTTTGAAAAAACATAAAATTTTATGTTTTTGACTAAATAGATTTTTTAAAAGACTCTTAACATATATAACTTATTTAATAAATAGGCTCGGATGAAGATAAACTTAATGCAAAATCAGGTCACAGGATTTGCGTGACTTATTTCGATACCTAGGCTCAAGAATGGTTTTGCTTAATAATAAATGAATAAATAAATGTTAGAGGCGGATAATGAAAGGGTTGGTGATCTTTGAATGTTTGAAAAGGAATATGCCATATGGATAATGATTGATGAATGTGTCTATTATTGTTTTTTTGAGGTTTTGGATTCAAAAGTTACGAAAAAAATTTTACCTTTTTTTTTATAGAAAGGAAAACAAGAAATTTTGGTACAACAAAATTTGCGAAATTTTGGTATGTAATGGACAGTTCTAAAGCCAACAGACTCACTACGAACCAATGAAGGTCATGGTTGCATGTACGTTTGAAAACGCTTTATTGAGATAACAAACTTCCACAAACACATACACATACCTGTCACCATCTGCATGCATGTTAAGATTTTCTACTGTAACTTTTTTAATCAAAATAGAACATGTATTAAGTTTTCTAAGTTGAGGCCTTACTTAACAAACGGAATATTATTTTCATGTTATACAAGAGAAAAATTCTCTCATGTATTATGTAACACCTCATTTATGACCGATCATGTTATCATTGTTTATGATATTAAGCGCAATTATAATTACAATAGTTTATTTAAAAATACGATAAAACTTTTTCTTTTTAGTACCATTTACAAAATTCTTATGTTTATAAAACGTCCATATTCAATATTTTTCAAAAAAGTGATCGTAACTCAAACTATTGCAGAACCATAAACACTATTGCTTAACATCATACAACGTCTATTTAAAGTTGTTAAGTGGTTCCCATAAACCAACGAAGCACAAATACACAATTTGACATTTTACCTACTTGAAGTACATTCAGTTTTTCAAAAACTGCAGCTGGAAAACTTGTCCATAAATTCTCATCTTTTGATATGTTATTATAAACTATTTTACCTTTCCAACAAGCTATCACACGCCCCATTTGGAGTTCTAAAACTCCGGATATGCTTGCCGTAAGTTACTTTCTTAAAACTGTCAACGCCGCACTTTCAAATACACAAACGTCCTAAACTACTTTTGAAACTGTAGTCGTTTTACTTATCTGTTTTACACCATATTTTAATATATTTTAGTAGACATCTCAAGCTTCAATTTGATATATCATAAGCCTAAATTGGGCAAGAAATGAGAGAGATATGAATTTTCCAAAAACATAAACTCAATTTATCCACTTCAGCACGAAACAAAACAATCCTCACTCAAACGCAAACTGGGTAGTTCTTACAACTTCAAATGACACCAAATTTTATGAAAATATAGGGAACATCTTAAGTTTCAAAATAAGGTATGTTACACCTTATTCGGACCACTGTGGAGAGAGTTATGGTCTTTCAAAGTTAGGGTAAAATCTAAATGTTTTTCTAGAAATTTCGACATACTCTTCTTTGTGTTTACAACCTTTTTCCACTTTATCCAAGGGTGTTTCAATACTCAAAAATGGTACATAATAGACCAAAAGGGTGGCATCCAAAGGATCAACATACATTGGTGCTCTTACAACCCACAATATACATCAATTCATGCTGTCTTTTTACTCAATTTACCAATTCTCTCATTACTCTTTCATACACAATGTCCCATTTATCATCTTTATAATTAAACATTATCAATAACTAAAATAGGTCTAAGGCCCTTCCATCACATACATCAATATTTACATATGCAAGGTTCTTCGATGATACAATTACATTTACATCAACTATCAAATTTAACTATTACATACTCAACATAATATCAAATGACTTAGACACAAAAGCATGAACAACTTTAAGCATGTAACAACATCTCATACAAAATCAATGTTCATGTACTAAGTTAATGATACAAAATAAGCAACTAAAATGTGCATCAAAATAATATCTCAAAATGCCAAGTAAATCCTCATGCACTCCTATGTACATGTCAAAATACTCCATATGCTCGTGTCCATACTAAGTGGGTTTCTTGCCCAAGGCTTCCCCAACAACACTAGTGGTACCTGAAAAGAGGGTCCCATAACGCAGGGTGAGATTTGACAATCTCAGTAAAGCACGGGTCCTAGAGGATCATTCCACCCAATGACTCACTCAATGTGCATGCAATGATAAACATATGAACAATATAACATACAAAATCACATCAATCATTGGGTAAACATCCAAGAACATCCAAACAAGGATATCGTATAAAAATTCCAACCATAACTCCTGAGACATTCCAAGTACTACTCCCAAAATAAAGATAGCACTACGGCAAAACCTAACTGAAACTCTTACAGAGACCTATCCAGTGGAAGTCCTCACAAATCTATCTACTGGCCAGAGATACAGGTATACCAAAACATATACCAAACAAGAATACATGTATATAAAAACATATACCAGACAACATGTCAAACATCATGTAAAAATGCATGATCATACTCTTTCACACATTATCAAAGATCACAAATCCAACCATACCCAAAGGATATGGTGGAGCACACAAAGGGACTAACCCCAGGACACACAAAAGTTTACCTATAAAAAGTTTCACAAGCAATTTTATAAACCAACAGAGAGAAGCTTCCAAAGCTCAATCCTCCAAGATTGGATCAAAGAGAATCAACCTACAATGATCATACCACAATATGATCAATCATGTACTTGAGAATACACAAGCAAACACAAATAATAACTCCTAGAAAAATCCTAGCGATCATTAAACCCCAAAGTGTAACCAATTGTATTTTATTTCAACAAACCAATATCATCACTTAAATATCCTCCTCAACCAAACCACCAATACATTCACACACTCTCCATCAAACCACAACACAATGTACAATATTTTTTCCTAATTTCTTCAATATGGTCGAATGTGTACATAATGTGGCCAAGTAATTTTCAATAATTCACAAGCTTAAAACTCTTATTAAACTTCATAATTTATGATTAGAACAACTACCAATCAATTATATCATCCATCAAATACTTCCTTCACAAATTATCATTCTTTCATCCTTGAAAATTTGTCTAAGTGTTGACACCAAAATCACTTAAATTCTTATTAGATTTCTACCGATTATTTATCCATACGAACAATAAATTCCAAAAGAATATAGCCATAAAACCTCTCCAACCATACCCACCAACATACACATCATATTATGTATGAAATCTCGATCCATAAGAAAGACTATATGAAATTGAGAAATCTTACCACCAATGAGTTTCTAGGCTTCCAGAGAGAAATATACAAGCTTCCAAGCAACAAAAACCACTAACGATGACTACTCTCACCTCACAAAACTGTCACCTTCATCTCTTTGATCTCTCCACACATTCACTTTCTCAAGGAATTCTTTTAGGATTTTTGATCACAAAGAAATTCTGGGTATTTTTCAAGTTGTAACTTTCTTGATTCGGTGTCAAAATAAAAAGTTACAAACCTAAGTTATATCTTCCAGGGTTGTTCGCCCAAGACGCTGAGGGGGAGGAAGAAGATGAGCCTTGTTGCGACTTCGACAAGTGCACTGGTCGTAAAAGTAATAAAGTGTATTGAGTACGAGATCGTTCCCACGAGGATTGGTTTTCAAGTACTAGTTCGCTAACAACGATTTAGTTGGACAATCGAATTTGAGATGAAAAGAATTGAAATTAAAAACAATCAATAACATGCAATTTCAGAATTAAAAGCAATAAAGTAAAAAGATGAAAGTTTTGAAAATCAAGAAAGAGCGTAGTTAATGTTTCGACTTCCCCTAATTTCCTCTATAAGTTATGAATTAAATGCCAAGAATCTGTTCTTAATATAATGCCAATCAATTATGTCTAAGTTAATTAGGGCTCAATTCCTTGTTACCCTAAATCTATGTGATCTTGAACGAACTCTAGTTCCCCGATTATTCTCCAAGAAAACATACATTAAGATCAAAAATTTAAAGATTGCACAATTGCTCTATGTTTATCCCTAGATCACAACGATTGTGATAAATTTACCAAGTCAGGGTTCATGCACCAACATCCCTATTGTCATACAATTCCCCAAAATCATTTTATAAGGAGCAAACTCATAGAAAGCATTAAAGACATAT